ATTTCATCCTGTGAAATGTAACAAAAGGCTCTAAACGTGACTCCTGTAGTTCCTTTCTTTTAGCCTTTCCCCCCTTTTTTTTTTTTGATTGTACCAAGAACCTCCTCGTGAATTTGGGCAGAACTTCTGAAATGTCCTGCATTGTTTGACAGACTTCGCCAATAGTGAAAACCTACAGATATTAAAATAGGGGTCTGAAGTATCTAAAATGTATAATTCAGGCCTGCCCTCTCAATTGTTTGTGCTAGTTGTTAGCCATTAACCTGCTGGTTGGCTAGTTGTTAGCCGCTAACGGGCTGGTTGGCTAGTTGTTAGCCATTAACCTGTTGGTTGGCTAGTTGTTAGCCGCTAACCGGCTGGTTGGCTAGTTGTTAGCCGCTTACCTGCTGGTTGGCTGGTTGTTAGCCGCTAACCGGCTGGTTGGCTAGTTGTTAGCCGCTAACCGGCTGGTTGGCTGGTTGTTAGCCGCTAACCGGCTGGTTGGCTAGTTGTTAGCCGCTAAGTGGAAACAAATAGCTTTAAATTTCCCTTATTCTCCCTTTCAGTGTTATGCAACACCAAAGATAGGTAAATGTGTGTAGCCTATGCATTCCCTCTTTCTCCAGAGAGCTACCAGTACACTGTGCTGGAGTCACTGCCCGTGAGGTCTGTGGTAGCCAGAATCAAAGCAGCAGACGCCGACGTAGGCTCCAACGCAGAGATGGACTACAGGATCATGGACGGGGACGGGCCTGGCACGTTCAACATCACAACGGATGAGGAGACACAAGACGGGGTCATTATCCTGCAAAAGGTGCAAATTACCAAACACACATGCTTCTCAGAATACGAAATCTGTCCATATCAATGGTACTAAGTTAATAGACTCTACTCGGTCAGAAAAATATCACTCAAACTCTTTTTGTCAATGAGATAAACACATTCGTAAATAAGCTGCTGTATTACATGTTGCTTGTTATCATGAGGTAATTTATAAGACACGGTCAACTCCCTGCCAGACATTCCCTTTTATAACCTTCAAGCAGTCTGTGCTGTTTTTTTATCTCGAAATATTGTTGTTCGCGTTGTGCAGAAAAAAATTACAAAGGAATTCTTTGGATTCAAGTCAATAGACCGTATTATGAACAGAAATCAACAGATGATGGATGCTTAGTTTCTCTGGAGCCAGAACAAGGCACTTCTCTGTATCATGGAGTTAATTCATTGCACAAAAACAGTGATGAGCCAAACATTTGCATTTGATGACATGATACATGGACACCACTTATCTAGCTGACTTGATGATGTTTAGAAAAAGTTGAACCATGCTGCGAGACAGTGTTTGTAATAAATCATATTTAATAGGAATGAAAATCTTTTAGGTTGAACACCCAGACCTTTGTTTGGATTTTTCTTTTGGATAAATATAAATGGAAATGCCCCCTTTCATAGTTCCCACTGTGAACACCCTTAACTGGTCGCTAGTGTGCCACAGGGTCACACAGAGACAACTACTGATACACACACTCAAATTAGACTCACCAATTAAACTAACCTGCATGTTTCTGGTTGGTGGGAGAGAATCAGAGGGAATTTACATGCAAGGGTATTTTTAAATGGAAATTAAACCTTGATATGAGGTCCTGCCACTACACCAACATGAAGAATAAGAAAACCTTCTCTCAGCTTTTTGCATTGATGTTTGACATAATCATGTCCTTCCTGACAGGTATCCAGTGTTTTCAGGATTTTGAATGCAGCTTTACAAATAGTCTGGATTTCGTAAAAACGTGCACTCAGGAACTGATATGCAGAGTTTTTCTCTTATTTGTATAACCAGAAACAAGGTTTTTACAATTTTTGGATGAAATAGGGTTTTTGATTTACAATTCTATCAGGATTCAGTGCTGTTCACAAAGGACAAATCATCACTGTCCACCATATCAACATCTGATCAAAGGAAACACCCTGCAGCCATTAGAAGGTTTAACAACCACAACTGTTCAACTGTCAATCTCGCCAGCCTTATTTCAAGTTAATTTAATAAGAACCTATTCATCTATGGAGGAATTTTGTTGCACAGTCTTACCTCATTTCTGCATACTTTGGAGCTCATGGCTGAAACGTCAAAATTCAAGGTTTTCAAACTTGAAACGGGCTCCTTGGGCCACGCTGATTTGACAGCCTCTATTGTTGGAGAGGTATAGCCATTGTCGGCCACAAGTAGTTCTTGTCAGCCCGGCCGATTTGATCCTTTGTTTGTTTTGCAGCAAACTCAGACAATTACAGCATAGGAGAGACTCTCTGACAATGAAAGTGTCAAATCAATGTGCTCCAGCAGTATATTATATGTTGTGAAGGAGAGTTCAATAAGCCAGACAAAATGTTTCAAACACGCGTGTCTCAGACTGCTTTTCACAACGGTCGCGCCTGTCTGAAAATCGTTGTTACTGCACTCTGAGAACAAAGTAAATATTGTACTTCACCAAATTGCTTAAGGACTGACTCTGTGTTAAATTGTATGTGTATTAATTGTGATCAGTGTTGCACTCTTGAACAGATTATTTACAGATACACACGAGTGATTCCTTATCCCCCCACTGACTGAGGATATCCAATGTCCTCTGTTGTACCATGCATTTCAGTTCAAATGGAAAAAGGGAGGATTTGAATCACGTCTTGGGATTTTGACAAGAAAAAATAACCCTTTTTTCTGTATTTGTCTTGTCTGTCTCTTTAAGCCCTTGGACTTTGAGACAAAAAGTGGCTTTGCTCTGAGAATAGAAGCCACAAACAGGAACATTGACTCCAACTTTTTGAGCTTGGGACCGTTTAGCGACACTACGTCAGTAAAAGTGACGGTTCAGGACGTGAATGAGCCGCCCCTCTTTTCTTCAACGCTCAACAAGATGGTCGTTTCAGAGGACGCTAAAGTGGGCACCTCAATCGGGAGAGTCTCTGCCCACGACCCAGATACATCCAGCAGTGCAATCAGGTACACGGAACCGATTCTTCCAATGTTTCATGTAGATGTTCAATTGAAAAAAAAACTTTCTTTCGACAAGTATTTGAAAAAATTATTTTACAGAGTTTGTTGTTGTAGGAGGTACTTTTTCCAAATATCCAAATAGATTTGAATAATGGTCTTATTCAGTGTTTGGAGATAACTCCTCCGCATTATCTCCAAACACTGACTCCTCAGACCATTGAAAGTCCCCGTGTGGCTGACACAAAGAATGCGCCAGATGGTGGGTGGGCCAAGGAGCGCAGCATTTGCAAAAGTAAAATGCCATCTTGAACAA